ATATATATATATATATCATACTCTACAGTATTTCTAATTCATTAATTTTATTCCTGGTCTTGGAATCTATAATCGTGGATATTTCAAATTGATATTATATTCCATGGAAATATCGCCTGGTCAGTAGAGCTTTGTAAATATCTCTTTTTTTTTTTAAAGAAAGCGTTAAATCAACAATTTTCTAGAAAAAACTTAAGAAGGGCCTATGTAAGTAATAGCTCAATATCGAATTATATAGAGAAATTAGGAACTGTATGATATAGTTAATTGTTATACGATAAACTGAATTATACAGGAAAAGTAGGAACTGTATGATGTAGTTCATTGTTCTATGATTAACTGAATTATACAGAAAAACTAGGAACTGTATGATATAGTTCATTGTTCTAATTAACTGAATTATACAGAAAACTAGGAACTGTATGATATAGTTCATTGTTCTAATTAACTGAATTATAGAGAAAAAGTAGGAACTGTATGATATAGTTCATTGTTCTATAACTAACTGAAATCAATGTAAGCATTAACCATATATTTTACTTTAAACATGGCTTTCTTTTGTTTTCGTCTAAATTTTGTGTTAATGTCACGTGCTCATGAGTAAAATGTCTTACCTGGAGATCTTGCTTTGCCGCCTCTGCACCTGCGCGGGAATTAAACGTTACAAATCCAACAGGCTGAAAACAAAATTAATAAGTATGCATTATTAAACACCCAAAACAAAATATATTGCTCAGAAGAAAACTTTAAATCCTTATAAAGACACTTATCGATTTATATAACATCTATGGTGTTGGTGTTTCGAATCCGTTTTACTTCACCATATAGTAATTTATATTAATGGTAAAGTAAAAAGGACTCAAAACACCATATATATTATATACTCTTCACCATTACAAGAGGCCTAACTATATGTCTTTGGTTTGCTGACCTAAGTTGTGCTGATGGACCTAAAATAGGCGAAATTGCAGTTCACAGCAGAGGGTACGGCCAATTAAAGTATGCGATATGCTTCTAAGTTACAGATTCTCTTTTCAATTTTACCTCTGGTGAAAAAACAGTCAAAGTGAAACTAGTCAAATGTAGCTGTTTTGATAGATAGGTAGATAGAAAACAAATCAATTATATTAGGTGTATTACCAAAAGGAAAAAGAGCGTAATACAATATGATCTTCCTATTTTAGGGTATGTGTTTTATTTACTTCAAGTATCTATAACATTTTTACTTTGTCTATGATTCTTTCTGTGTAAATAAACATGTATATGTGAGGATTGCGAATTTAATCCTCATAAAAGTTGTTTCGGTTTTAATAACTGATTTTCCATAATTCAGTTACGCAGATTTCGAAAATAATATTCTTTTTTTTCTATCACGTAAGGATTTTTTACAAATCAGGAAGAAAAAACTCATACTTACATCAAATTATTATTTCGTTTACTACAATGAACATTTTTTATCATTATGGTTGTTATGTTTGGGTTCTAGAACGATCGATAAGACTCACGTCGCGATTGGTCTAGAGAAATCTATAGCCAGTGGTTGTCAACATTTTAAGCATAACAAAATGTGACCCGATTTCCATGAAAATGATTCACTTATGTAAAAGTACATATGATGTTTTGTGAAAAATCTGTACGTGATGGAGAAAAATGGATATAATTTTTGGATTCAATGTACAAGAATTACTGTCGAACAAGTAAAAAATTCAAGACAATTAAACCATCGCAGGCCTGTGTTACGTTCTATCTAGTGCAGTATGATCCGTACGGTGGTGGGGATGTTACCACTTATTAAAACAGTCGTTGTTGCCCTAATTACTTAGGCAGCCGAGCTCTATCTACTGGCCTGTGTTATTATTGTAGTAAACGTGGTATCTAGTGCAGTATGTTCCGTACGGTGGTGGGAATTTTACCACTTATTAAAACAGTCGTTGTTGCCCTAATCACTTAGTCCAGCCGAGCTCTATCTGTTGTATTGGTCCAACTCTAAACACACGAATTGCTTAGATTAAAAACAAAGGGTATTTATGCGTGTACTTATCTAAATACTTAGCTACGGTTACAATTGTAAGACATCCGTGTTTTGCAGTGAAGCAGGATTGGCAGGAGATTTGTATTATAATTCATATATTATTTAGAAAGATATATAACATCACGTATACTCACTGAGGATGTTTTTCCATTTTTACTAGTCACCTTCAGGAGAGAACCTTCGTAGCCCTTAAGAAGAAATATAGAATATTAATTGCCCTTTACATACATCATTCATTAATATATTTGTTCTTTACTTTAGATCGTGAAATATGTTTACATATAAGACTGTATAGCATACATATGTTAAAGAATTAAAAGTAAAGGTGTTTAAATCTAGTCTAATATAAATGCTTAGATTATTTTACGTAGCTGAGGCATAAGTCACTATAATCTGAGCTCCAATGGAAAATTGAAGTATTGTTTTTCTTTTCTTTTTTGCTTATCGTTGTTTTAACCTCAAAGTGTTAAAGTCATTTTACGAAGTAGTAACTTACACAAACGATGAAGACGTTTAAGCGTGTTAAAAGCATTTTTTCTTCTTCTTGTAATAGTCAACAAATTATATTTATCGTTACTAGAAAATACGCGGTCAATACTTAATGTTCACTCTCATTACACAGCGATAAGCTTGAGGGCTTATAATGCTACAAATAGAGGTTCGATACACGTGGTAAGGACATCGCAGATAACCCGTTGTGTGGCTATGCACTTAACAACAAGCAAACAAACAACACGTAATACATATTATACAAAATCTTACCTTATACGCTCGAAATAACAGATACAGCTCTCGTGGTTTCGCGTCCATGGGAAGACCACTGACAAACAGCGTGCGCACCTATAAAAATAAAAGAAAGGTTCAGTTGTTACACTATAATCTCATTAAACTAAACAACCTAATTAATGGCATTTGGACACGCAATACAATAGCGTAGGCTTTACTTATTTAAGAGAAAGTTAACTGAGTAGTGTCCTAAAATGGCACTGTTCGTAACGGTTGCAAGGTTTCTGTTATAACTAACGTGACCATAAGTACATGTTCAATCTTTTTTTTTTTTACTACTATGACACCAGTCCTGCAACACATCGACAAGGACAGGACGATGTATGCGTCTCATCCTTATTCATCTTATGTATACAAATATGTTCAACAAGGATGAGAAATATATATATATATTAATAAAGCACAGTTTCCACTTTTTGTTCTATAACCTCGTAAATATAATAGTGCACAAAATCTTAAATATCAATAAGTTTACAAAAGATAGTTCTCTGACCAGTCATTTGATAAAATACAAGTGTTTGATGACTTGAAATCCACAAAATTTTAATCTCCCAAATCCAAAATTTAGTCTGTTTTTTTTTGTATTATTGATTTCTTTTTGTTTCGGTCAGGTTTTAAAACCCCCAGTTTTACATTTCTACTTGACAAAGCAGTAGTATTAGGAACATAAGAGCAGTCGCAGCTTTTAATTGGAAGAGTAAAATACATATTTATATATATATATATAGATGACATTAAAGATGAACATGCTCAGATAAATCTCTATGAAATAAAATATCTAAAAAACATATTTTTAATAACGTTAACTATTTACATTTCTATAAGATGGAAATTTTGTCTGCTTTTAGAATTCCGTTATTAACATATATTGTGTTCCCTTTATCTCACAAGTGCTGAAAAGCCACAAAAGTGGCCAGAAAAGCGCTTTTAGACATAAAGTTGTTACGTTTCACATATTGTGTACATTAAATATTTGTGTTCCACTTTCAATCATTTCTCGCCATAAAGATGACTCATTTCACTCATTGTGTACACTCAGTATTCCAATTCAACTTCCAGTCGCTGACCGCCATTAAGTTGTTACGTTTCATATATTGTGTACACTAAGTATTCATGTTCCACTTTCAGTCATTTCTCGCCATAAAGATGACTCATTTCACTCATTGTGTACACTAAGTATTCCCATTCAACTTCCAGTCGCTGACCGCCATTAAGTTGTTACGTTTCACATATTGTGTACACTAAGTATTCATGTTCCACTTTCAGTCATTTCTCGCCATAAAGATGACTCATTTCACTCATTGTGTACACTAAGTATTCCCATTCAACTTCCAGTCGCTGACCGCCATAAAGTTGTTACATTTCACATATTGTGTACATTAAGTATTCGTATTCCACTTTCAGTCATTTCTCGCCATAAAGATGACTCATTTCACTCATTGTGTACACTAAGTATTCACATACAACTTCCAGTCGCTGACCGCCATAAAGTTGTTACGTTTCCCATATTGTGTACACTAAGTATTCGTATTCCGCTTTCAGTCATTTCTCGCCATAAAGATGACTCATTTCACTCATTGTGTACACTAAGTATTCGTATTCCGCTTTCAGTCATTTCTCGC